ACTGAAAAGTATTTAATCTTTTGTTTTGCAACATGGTATCTATAGAACGTTGACTTGCTGGGCTTGATGTTGCTGCTGCTGTTGCTGCTGGTGCAGATGATGTATTTTTTCTCCCTGTTTTGCTTAGATTTGTATTGCTTGCCATTTTGATAGTTTTAGGTAATAAAATATTTTAAGTAACAATTATCTAACAGAGACAACCGATCAATAATCAAACAATCAATAACAAATCCAAAATGCAATACTCCACAGTACCCAACTTAAAGAGTACACCTGAAGCAGTCCAACAATTTCCTTTCTTATTCCCAGTTGTTGTTTTCAGACCTCTAGGCACCTCATTTTTTTAGTTCTTGTATTTCACAAAATCAAGATATCCATAGTCCAAAGTTCTCTTCAAGAAGGTTGTTTTCTCTTTTAATAAATTATAATCCACAAAGGCTCACCAAAATTGTATCAAACCGATTATAAATCACCAAAGAGGACAGCTAAAAGATCAAAGTCTTCATTTGCTTTATAAACAACTTCTATTATCTGCCAGTTTCAGTTGCTCAATTTATAAAATCTTTATCCAGTCAGAAAGCTACAGTGTTTAAAATTTACAGTTTCTACTCTCTTTCTCTGCAGTTCTCTCTGTAAACAGTTCCCAGGTGCAGACAGTATCAGCTTTGGAAGCCATATTAACACCAGAAGCTTCCACGCTGCCACCTTCTTGTGCTTGGGAAATTAGGAAGGAGGATTTAGCAGAGGGAATGTAGTTAGACAAAATAGCATTCTTCTTTTCAGTCCAGGTCATGGCAGTACTGCATCTGGAGAAGGAGAGGTTGAAGTGGTGTCTCAAGATGGGACGGCTGGTGATTGGACCATGTGATGGACTAATGGGTGCAGGGGCTGGATTTTGGGGTTTTGATTTACTGAGGGAAAATCTGGAACTCTCAGATTCAGGTTTTCCCAGATGTGCCAGTATACCTAATTTAATAAATGGGAACTTTGAGAAAATGCCTGTCTCAGAGTTTTTAATTGGAGCTGGGTTCTTCTGGAACACTGACAGAAGTTAATCTGTGTCTTGTAACAATGTTCTTTCAATAAACTGCCCAAGGTCAATTGTTATCTCACTTTCTTTTCTTCAGTTTCTTTCTATAACAATTTTTTCTGGCCAGCAGGTGTCACTGTTGCTCTATTTCTCTTCTACTCTTCTCCTTTAACTTACGCCAAATCTTTTTCCTTTGGAGGTTCCTGAGCCCGAGTTTAAATTGCAGAAAAACATTTAAGTTCAATGAAATCCAATTAATCCACTTAATACTATCCTTTGAATAACCAGTCTGGATTTCCTCTTTTAAAACTTATTTCTCTCACACAGTGCAAATAGTTCAAATTTCTTATTCGGATCTATTTCAGCTTTGGGCTTATTCACCACTATTCTATGGGAGTGGAAGGTAGAAAAATCCACCCCCTTCTTTTACAGTTCCACTGTCATTCAAGCCAGTTTTAAAAGGGGCAAATTCCTCAACAGAAGTTGGAAAATTCTCACCCAGTCGCACCACTGCTCTGCCTCAATCTTCACTCATTCTTCTCTGATTGGGCTGTCACAGCCACCGTCAGGCACGCAATGGCCGTCTTTTTCTTCCTGCCGGTTTGAGAACTTTCCTCCGGATCAAACAAGGAGTTTGCAATCTCCTTGTAATCTACGGAGTGTCCTCTCTTCTTCACCACCCCTCCAGGGTTCCTTAGGTCCCTCAAGACCCTCTGGCAGGAGGAATTTGGCAAACTTCGACAGAGCCCTATGGAAAATACATTGTATTGCCGCGACATCAGCTCCACCTCCTCCCAGAGTTCTGAAGAAGCTGGCAGAACCAGTATACCAGATCTTTCAACAATCCCAGAGCACTGGAGAAATACCTGAGGATTGGAAAAGGGCTGATGTGGTTCTCATCTTCAAGAAAAGGAAAAAAAATTGACCCAGGAAACTACTGACTAATCAGTCTAACATCAATACCTGGGAAGATACTGGAAAACAGATCTGCGAACAACTAGAAGCAAATAAAGTTATAAATGGTAGCCAGCACGTGTTTGTTAAAAACAGATCATGCCAAACCAATCTTATTTCATTCTTTGATAAAGTCAGTAGACCAGTGAAATGCTCTGGACATAGTATACTTAGATTTCAGCAAGGCATTTGACAAAGTAGACCACAACCTATTTCTTGGTAAGCTAGAAAAATGTGGGATAGACAGCATTGCCATTTGTAACTGGCGGACAAACCATACTCAACAAATAGTCCTTAATGGTATTACATTGACATGGAGAGAAGTAAGCAGTGGGGTACCACAAGGCTCCGTCTTACGCCTGGTACTCTTCAATATCTTCATAAGTGACTTAGATAAGGGAATAGAAGGGGACCTCATCAAATTTGTAGATGACACTAGACAGGCAGGAATAGCCAACATCCCAGAAGACAAGCTCAGGATCCAAAAAGATCTTGACAAACTTGAACAATGGGCCTTATCCAACAAACTGAATTTTAACCAGAAAGTAATGTGTTTTGTACCCTCTGCACATGCACAGAAGGTTTTGCTTTTTGCTTTTAAAAGTAAAAAAAAAAAATCGATCACAGCTAAGCTGCGCAATCGTCAGAGCCTTTATTTTTACTTTTAAAAGCATTTTTTACAACCTATTCAGGCAAATAGGTCGTAAAAAAATGCTTTTAAAAGTAAAAAAAAAAGATTGCGTGCCATGGCTGACCCCCCCCCCCGGCGTGTGCTGTTCTACTTACCCCATGCCTCCTTTTGGCATGCACTGTGCGCGCACATGCAGTACACATTTGGCGCACAACGCACATGCGCAACCAGCAAACCAGTAGTAAACCAGTTCAGATTTCACCATTGATCAAGATAAAATCCTAGTAAGACCATACTTGGAATACTGCAACCAATTCTGGTCACCATACTACAAAAAAGATGTTGAGACTTTGGAAAAAGTTCAGAGAAGAGCAACTAAGATGATCAAAAGCCTGGAGACTAACATTTATGAAGAAGGGCTGCAGGATTTGGGTTTGGCTAGTCTAAAGAAAAGAAGAATTGGGGTGACATGGTAGCAGTATTCCAGTTTTTGAGGGGCTGCCACAAAGAAGAGGGCATCAATTTATTTTTCAAGCACTGGAGGGCAGGACAAGAAACAATGGTTGGATATAATCAAAGAGAGAAGCAACCTGGAATTAAGGAGGAACTTCCTAACAGTGAGGACAAATAGCCAGTGGAACAGTTTGCCTTTAGAAATAGTGGGCGTTCCATCACTGGATATTTTTAAGAAGAAACTAGACAGCCACTTATCTGAAATGGTATAGGTCCGTGATGGCGAATCTATAGCATGCATGCCGGAAGTGGCACGTAGAGCCATCTCTCCGGGCACGCGAGCAGTCACCCGATGCTCTTTCAGGTTCCAGCAAACGGGCCAGCTGGCCTTCACATGCACTGGGATGCCAGAAACCAAAAGAGCAGCTGCCCGGCGCGCATATGTGTGCCGGGAAGATGATCTTCCGATTTCTGGCATGCGCATGCGCGCCAGCCACCTGGTCTTCCGGTTTCTGGCATGCATGCATGCGCAAAGACCAGCTGGCCAGTGCGCATGCACGTGCTAGAAACAGGAAGATGCACCCGGCGGCTGTGTCTGGCACGCTGGAACCCAGAAGAGCACGGGGAGCAGAGATGCCAGCCAGGATGGGTGGGTTGGGGCTTCCCTCCTTCCCTCCCTCCCCACCCGAATGGGCTTCTTCCATGGCCCCAGCCCTACAACACGGGGCACTGATGCGCATATGCAGTCCGGAGAGCCTGGCCAGCTGGGGCACATGGGGCAGTGGGGCAGGGTTTGCTGGCTGGGCAGGTGGCCACCCCACCTGCTGCTCCTGCCACCGCGAGGAGGCGGCGGTGGTTCTCACGCTCCCATTTCCAGCCGGGATCCTGGAGCAGCCAGGAGGAAAAGGAGCCACCGTCGGGGAGGCCAGCTGCCCCAGGAGGGCCGGAGGACAGCGCAGTTCCTCATGCATGGAGATGCCGCCGAGGGGTAAGAGGGGCACCTGGCCAAGCGGGAAGCAGGAAGGAACTGTGAGGGATAAGAGGGGATGACAGCACTGGCTCATTCTCAGTGAGCCAGCGCTGGGGGGGGGCACTTCATCCCGGCCAGAGTTGGGGCAAAGCTCTCCTGCCTCCTGGCCTCCCCAAGCCGAGTCATGGGAATGCCGATGCCCCTTCCCCCTGAGGCCGGGAAGGGGCTCCAGCTTTCTAGCAGAGGCGGGGGCATTCCCCGCCCCACTTTCTCTCCATGTCCAGGGCTGCGGAACCGGGTCATCGGTGGGGATGTCCCCCCACTCCGGCGGGGACCAGGGGGATGTGCAGGGAGGTGCAAGGACCCCCCAAAAGGCCAAGTGGAGCTGGGGCACACTCCAAGTGGATAGCTGGTCTTCATGCATGCATGCATGCCAGAAACTGGAAGAATAGGTGGCTGCCGTGCATTCGTGCACCGGAAACCAGGAGATCATCTGCTGTTCCAGTCTCCAGCACGGGTGCGCGCACGCTCCTGTTTTGGCACTCGGTGCTGAAAAGGTTTGCCAACACTGGTATAGATTTTCCTGCTTGAGCAGTGGTCTGGACCTCCAAGGTCTCTTCCAGCTCATTCTATTCTATTCTATTTCTATTCTATCCTATTCTATATACCCTAGACCTGATAATTGTGGGCCCATGTCTGAGACCCTGGCACTTAAGAATCTATAGTTTCTGTTCAGATCCCTGTGCTGTGTATTGGTAATTTTCCTGCATCAAGAATCTACACAGTTTTCTGGCAGAAAAAGTCCTTGTCAATTTCTTCATTAGCTAGCCCTCTACAGTTTGTTTTCAAGAATATGCAAGATATTCTTGCATATTCTGCAGATCCTCAGCAGTGGACCCAAGGAGCTGACGTAATTCCTCCCTCCCCTCCACCAGAAAAAAACAACTATTGAAGTCACCTACCTGGAAGTACTGCACAGCAGATGATTCCTCTGTGCGCTCACTGAACACTGACTGCTCCATGTTGTGGCCTCGGCAATTTTTCAAGATATTATAAAATGAGCAGAAGTCTAAAGATAAAGCCAAAAATGCTTTTCAGACTTCAAATGACATTGTTCCAATTACATCCAAAAAGGGTACAAACAATTTAGTTAGAGATGTAATCCAAGATGGTATCTAATTATTATAGGAACATTTGCCCAGGATTTTTCTCTAGGTACTTTTAATCAGGTTATGTGACACAGATAGTCCTCGACTTACAACAGTTTGTTTACTGACCATTCAAAGTTATAATGGCACTGAAAAATGTGACTTATGACTGTTTTTCATAGTTATGACCTTTGCAGCATCCCCATGACCATGTGATCAGAATTCAGAATTCAGGATGCTTAGCAATTGGTCCTTGTGTTATGTGATCACCTTTTGCAACCTTCTGACAAAATCAGTGGGGAAGCCAGATTCACTTAACAACCAGGTTACTAACTTATCAACTGCAGTGATTCACTTAACAACTGTGGCAAGAAAAAATAGGGCAAAGTTCACTTAAATGTCTCACTTAACAACAGAATTTTTGGGCTCAATTGTGGTCATATGTTGAGGACTACCTCTACTTATTTCTAAGACTAAATCATTTATTTATTGGATTTATGCCTTGCTTTTTTTTTTTTTTTGTTTACTCAAGGCACTTAGAACATTTCAATTAAAAATGCTAAATTTAAATGTAGCATTCAGATCAACAGATTAAAAATCAGTTAATGTGGAAGTGATATGTTTTCCATTTCACAAAATTTTCCTCTACAGGGAGAGCATCCATAGTCAGAGACAAGAGATGAAACAAACAAGCCACTATCAGCAGAGCATCTTTTTCAAAAAGTCCTCTCTTGCTGATTTCCATGAACAGGCATATTCATTGTAAAACATATGATCCCTGGAGAGATTCAAACCCTAGCTGTGTGGGGCTTTAAAGTCAACATCATCACATCATCTATGCCCAGGAAGCAATCAGCAAGAAGGAGAGATTTTTCCACCAGGAATCATACCATTCCTATAATTTCCACTTTTTAAGGAATATATTTTGGCCCAATTGCAATTCTTAGATGCTTCTCAAGGGGTACCTACCATACAGCATGTTACAGTAGTTAAGCATAAGGATGTAACTAAGGTATAGATAACTATTACTATGTCTAAATCATTGCTGCAAGGATCACAGCTGGCACCCTAGCCACATCTATGCCAATGTGGTCCAGGCCACAATAATCAACTGTGAATCCAATGACAATTGAGCATCAAGGAGCATCTTTAAACTGTGCATCTTTCTGAAAACCACATTTTCATTATTTAAAGTTTTTAATACTAGCTCATGCTTACAAATAGCAGAATTGCTTGCAATTTCTTCTCTAATGCTACATGTATATTTACTTAATTTTTGGATACAAAAATAGTATGTACATTTTTATGTAACAAATATAGGTGAATAGTATTATACTACATGCATCAAAAATCTTATATTCATATTTAAGTTAAATCAAGTACAGATAACTGTCCATAAAAATGTTAAAATTTTAGAATGATAAACACGATTTTGTCTTTTGGTTTTCTCACAAATATCCTTTCTGTTATATTTTAACTTTTCTAAATGTTCCAAATGTTGCAGCAACTGTCCAACCTATCCACTAAATACAGCATAAGTATCAAAAGTTTAAAATTAAAATCTAGACAGAGTTGGGCTTAACATTGCATGACTTTGCCACTTGATGGTCCAAAATTTCTATTATGGAGAACAAACAGCAGATGATGTCATAGGAGAGAATATCAGAGTGAATTATTTAATAGGACAGATGTTATCCTTCCTGTAAATCAGCGGTTCTCAACCTGGGGGTCGCAATCCCTTTGGGGGTCGAACGGCCATTTCACAGGGGTCGCCAAAGCCCTCTCTCGCCCCCCCCCACGCCTTCACTCACCCTCACTCTCTGCTCTGTTGGATCGCCGGCCGTTCGCTTACCCCGCCCACTCTCAAACTATTGCTGCCTCCTGAGTCCCAGCTGATGGCTAGAGGAAAAAAAACTGTTTAAATTCTTGCCGTGGGGCTTCAAAGGGCCGCCTATAGCCAGTGGTGGGATTCTGCCGGTTCCGCCCCGCCCCTCCGCACCACTATTTATTGCCAATAAATAGTGGTGGGTGAGGGGCGGGCGAGCCAGCAATTTAACAAATGGTTCGGTGTTTTTTTGTAATTTTATTGGCCCGCGGAGCTTCAGCATAGGCTAATTATCCCTTGATTAGATCGGCTCCCGACTCTCAGCTGATTTGCTCTCAGCTGTTTTGCTCAGGGCTCTGCTGCTTGCTTGCAAAGAGTGCTGGAGCAATTTTTTTCCCCTAGCTATGCTGAGAAACGAAACTGAAAGTAAAGCAGGCTGTTGGCTTTGCTACAACGTTGGAAAATTAGGCAGGCAGATTTCTTTTCTTTTTCCTCACCAAAAAAGGTAGGTGCAAACAATGGGAAATTTAGGGAAAAAGAGGAGAGTTCAAGATTTTAAAACACAAAAGAAAAAAAGCTCTATTTAACTAGGGAATTGTAATAATTGACATATTATTAATTGTATATTGTGTTGAAAGCAGAAATGGTTAAGTTGTGGTTTGGAGGAATATATGGGGGAAATTATTTGATTTATTATTATTGGTAAATATAATTAACTGATTTGTAAGAAATTGGATTGCATGGTAATAATTGGAATATTCATGTTCATATTGATTAATATACAAAAAAGGTAGTTATATAACTAATTGATTTATATTAAGATGTTGAATTTATATTAAACAACTGTAATACTACATAATTAACCAATGTGAGGATGAATATAAAAATAGATGACAATGGGAAGGGGTATAATATAGAATAGAAGGGAAAAATTGAATTTGATTAAGATTAGAGATGAGGATGAAGGGTAATATTGGTTTTTTAGAAAAATAGATGAGGAATAAATATGGCAAAAAGGAAATATAGAAATTGTAAATTTAATTGAAATGACTAAACACTGTTTAAATTTGTGAACCGGGCAAATACTCTGTTCAAAGAAAATACATTGTATGTTTGTATGTGTGTTTCTAATTATTGTTATTTATTCATATTTGTTCTCTTTTATTCTTTAAAGTTTAACAATTCATTCTTTATCTTAATATCTTTATATTTGTTTGGGGTTGGCTTTCTTCCCTTTCATCTTTTTTATGGTACAGCAATCTTTCTCCTCAAACCTACCACCTCTCTCTTTTCTTTCCTTCTTACTTTCTCTTCCCCCCACCCTCTTCTTCTCCTCCCTACTTCCTTTTCCTTTCTCCTTCTCCTCCTCTCTTCCTCCCTCTCTTCCCCTCACTCCTAATTTCCCTTCACTTCCTTCATCTCTCTCTATTGCTGTATCCTTTTATGCATATGGACTACTCAGAGGGCTGAAAAAGTTATTTCTGACTGGTCCTCGCACTTTTGACCAGTCCTCGAACTTATGACTGTCCTCACATTTTACGTTTTTGCCCTATCTTGTCACCATGGTGAAGAGAAGCAGTTGTGAAATGAGTGACATGGTTGTTAAAAATGCTACAATGGGCATAAATGATGACCAGTCATAAGTGTGAAGACCGGTCAAAAGTGCGAGGACCTGTCAGAAATCACTTTTTTCAGCCCTCTGGGTAGTCCTTTTGTGCATATGGACTACTCAGAGGGCTGAAAAAGTTATTTTTGACTGGTCCTCGCAGTTTTGACTAGATCTCGAATTTACGACTATCTTCACATTTTACGTTTTTTGCCCTATCTTATCACCATGGTGAAAAGAAGCAGTTGTGAAATGAGTGACATGGTTGTTAAGAATGCTGCACGGGCATAAATGTGAGGATGGTCATAAGTGTGAGGACCAGTCAAAAGTGCGAGGACTTGTCAGAATTGACTTTTTTCAGCCCTCTGAGTAGTCCCTATACACATAGCCATGGCCACCCGGTCACATGACCGGCTAGCCACGCCTACCCAGTCACATGACCTCCAAGCCACGCCCACAGAACCGGTAGTAAAAAAAATTCGAACCCACCCCTGGTTGGGGGTCACCACAACATGAGGAACTGTATTAAAGGGTCGTGGCATTAGGAAGGTTGAGAACCACTGCTGTAAATGCTATGTGTTGGCAGGGCATAGAATTATTTGTCAGAGCAATATTACTGTTTCCCAAAACTTCAAATACAACTCAAAATTGCTAGTACATACCACTTGGCGTTGCAAATTGTATAAGGACACTATTGCATCCCAATGTGATAATGAAGGACTGTTTTCCCACTCGGCTGCATTCTGTCTCCTTTGATACAGAACACTTGAATACACAAACATCATCTTCTAGGAAAGAAAAGAGAAAAAAACAATGATTCATCAACCCTTAGAGATTTTGCTTTTTTAAGATGGAGAAAGCCATTCTGGATCATTCCTACTTTCCAAACTGTCAGATGAGAAATCCACAAACAGAACAGGAGCAGATCATCTCTTTCACATGCTCCTGAATCTCATCAACTGATATTCAGGGTCAAGTTAGGTCTGCTCATAGGGGTAGTATATGATCATGACCAGTAGCACTAGCACTAGCACTTAGACTTATATACTGCTTCGTAGTACTTTACAGCACTAAGTTATTTACAAATGTCAGCATTTTACCCCCAACAATCTGGGTCCTCATTTTACCAACCTCAGAAGGATGGAAGGCCGAGTCAACCTCAAGCTGGTCAGGATCTAACTCCTGACTGTGGGCAGAGTTGGCCTGCAATATTGCATTCTAACCACTGTGCCACCTTGGCTCCCTACAGACTATTTCAAAGTTGCTTTTAGCTTTTCTGTAGAAGTGAGAATTTACTAAATTTTAGCTACTTATTCCCTATATCTGATAAGAAATTCCTATTAGCAGTTTCTAGAAATGTTCAGAAAAGTGAGCAGACATCTTTCTAATAAAGGAGAATATTTGTAACTCATGGTTGAAATGAGGGGTCCTTGGTGCTCTCTGAGTTTGGTTGTTTTCTTTCAGATGTTTCATTATCCAAACTAGGTAATACCATGCTAGCACTGATGATATTACCTAGTTTGGGTTATGAAACGTCTGCAAGAAAAGAACTAAACTCAGAGAGACCCGTCAGACATCTTTCTATTTGGTCAGGACAAATCTGTGAAACTCACACTGCCTTTTTTTACCTTTATATCCTCTCCTCAGGCCCCTTTTTCCTTGCATCTAAAATCTGTGGGCAGTACCATAAAATAATCTTTTTCTCTCAGACTCTAATCTTAATCTACTATCACAGGGGCCCTTAGCCCTCAGGTTGCAGACTGGTACCAGTCCGTGGTTGTTTGAAAACTGGGTCGCACAATGGGCAAACGACAGGAAACTTCATTTATGCATGCATGGGAGCTAGGTTGCACGTATGCAACCATCCCCTCCCCCTCCCCACTGGTCCATGGAGCCAGAAAGATTGGGGACTGCTGTACTATCAGATCAATAATACAGTATTCAAAATAAGAGTTTGCACAAACTGGGTCCAACACATTACACTGAAGCAAAATATGATTTGCATAGTTGTCTGTTGTCATCTGTTGTCGTTAATAACATACTATGATTCTATAGCGTAGACTAAATATGAGCTAGGTCAGGGGTCACCAACCTTTCGGACCCCAGGGACCACTAAATTCATAATTTTAAATCCCGCGCACCACTAATATGAATTCAGAGCGCTGCTTGCTGAAGCGCCTGGACTCCCAGTGACGGGATGGGGTCCTCCAGGCCCTGTCTCTCCCCCCCCCTCTCCCGTCATCTCTCTTTCTCTCTCTCTCCCTTTCTCTCTCTCATCCCTTCTTTCTCTTTCCCCCCTCTCATCTCTCTCCCCCCTTTCTCTTATCTCTCTCCCACTCTGTCTCTCATCTCTCTCCCTCTTTCTCTCATCTCTTTCTCTCTGCCCCCCCTCTCATCTCTCTCTCCCCCTATCTCTTTGTCTGTCTCTCATCTCTCTTTCTCTCCCCCCCCCCGGTCTGTCTCTTTCTTTCATTCTGATTCTTTGGTGCTCTCTGGGTCTCGTGGGCGCTTCTTCGGCCTTTATTGGTGCTGGACACACAACCTGCTCTCTGCCCCAAGACACTCGTGTGACCTGGCTGCAACTGATGCTCCGCGTTGTAATGGCTCCAGGAGGAGAAGGGGACGCAGACTCTTCCACTGTGAAGCATGCTAAATTTAACTGCGCAGTGTTGTGGCCTGCCAGTGGTCAGCAGAGCTGGCAGCAGATTCAGACAGTGAGGTGGTTGGGGAGGAACATGGGCCAGTCCTGGAGTCTGGGGAAGGCTCAGACAGGGGCTCTGAGTCAGAGGCAGAGAGGGGGCCAGGGCTGTCTGGTAGTTCTTTGCTGCCTCCGGAGTCTCCAGAGTCTGACATCAGAGAGGCAGGAGAACAGCATGAACCTGTTCCCAGTGTACACATGCACAGAGCTGCCAGGAGACAGGAACAATTAAGGAAACAGGGTCGACTTGGGAGTATGGCTTGGAGATGATTGGCCCCTCCCATAAGACATAAAAGAGAAGCGAACAGGATGTGAGCTTTTACAGGAAGCAATTAGTTCATCTGGCTGATTCAAGATTTGAAACTCCTGTTTGTGACTCTGTGCCAAGTTTGGTCTTGCCCTGTGTCTGGAAATTAGCTCTTTGGCAGCGTTCCACATGAGATAGAAGGGTATTGATAATCTTCCTGTGAAAGACTGTTTATCAAGCATTGCGGACTGTAAATGAAAGTAATTTACAGCCGTATGAATTAAAGAGGTTTGCCGGGGCTAAGTTTGTGCTGTTTAATTTCTAAGGAAGCTTAGGTCAGAACACGCTGCAAGAGCAGCGGGCAGGTCATGGAGGCGCCAACAGCAGTGGCAGAGAGAAACAGCTGGGCCAGGACAGTGTCTCAGGGTTGAGAGGAAGTTGCATGTCTCCCCCAGAGACCGAGCTGCGCAGAGCACCAAAAAAGGCCGGAAGAAACACCTGCGAGACCCAGCAAGAGATGAAGCTTCGCTCCCGTCTGGAATATGGAGCAAATCTCCATCCCCTGCCCTTCCCTTCTCAGTCCAGGCAAGAAGTGACTGGGAGGGCGAGGGGCGGGGACAGCCAGTGAGTGGTGGGTTCAGCCGACAGGAAGCCACAGCAGGGGGATGATCGCCATCCCCCCTTCCACCATTACCTCGTTCCGGCTGGCGAGGGCTGTGCTACACCTTGCGTGTTGCACCTCCTGCAAAGTTGCAAATAGCTCCCTGTACGGCGGAGATTTCCAGCCCCAACACAAGCTGTTTGGCCTGTCCAATACTCCAGAGCTCTAGACACAGGACTGGCCATTGGTCATCCCGGAGCAGCTCGGGTGTGCTGCGGACCACCAAAAATTTTTCACAGACCGCCAGTGGTCCGCAGACCACCGGTTGGTGACCTCTGAGCTAGGTCATTACAGTTTGTTCCCCAATCCATGACTTAGCATGATCTGAGAAACATGGTATGGCCATTTCAAATCCTGTGCCTGGTTTTCAAACATTTCCAATTCCAATACTCAAGAAAAGACCAAACCATTTATTTGTTAATGATTAATTCTGCAAAATATGCCAGGCATAGGATGTAAAGAAAAAGATACTCCAGTCTGAAGCTTGCCTGAAACTGCAGGGCAGCATCATTAAGCATTTATAGCCACTTAAATAAAGAAATATGTCATCTTTTATTCCATCTTAATTCTTGGCTCTTGCTGCCTTTTTCATTACCTTAGCAGTACTTATTAGTTTGGTTTCACAAGGACAACTATGGAGTCTCACTCTCAGTAAAAAACAAAAACAAAAAAACCTGACACAATATTTGGGTTTAACAAGAGTCTTTGGAGTGCTTTTTTTTAATTAACAATCATAATCAAAGCCAAATACATTTTTATCAACTATGCCAGGAATGGAAGTTTTATAAACCGACTGACACAGGAATTTTCAGTGAATCCATATACCAGATGAAATTCTGTAAAAGAACCAAAAGTGTGTCACAAAAAAAAGCAGCAAGAAGAAAGTAAAGGATATGAACCTAAATAGATGCTGTGTTCTGCTCTAGCATTCCTTGAAGACATAATTTCCATTATCTATTATGAGTAGGGATGCAAAAATATAGATAACCCTAATGCCAGTTGCTGCCACCTACAATCAACTTACTTTTTGCAGCCCAGATATGGAAACCCTCTAAAGGACTGACGAGTATCATTAAACCATGTGAAAATTAATTTTGTGTATGCTCCTTGAAATACTTTATCAGACATGTCCAGAATCTTCTGAGAATAAATGTTTTGGAAACAAAACTACATCTGCAACGTATTGTGGAATAAGTAAAACCTTCAGTTTAGAGGCCAACCAAAGATTTTACCTACTGTACCATTTAATGGAAAGCAGTTTTTACACAATAAATTAGAATCTTGATACATCCTATTACACTAGTTTACAAAATCATTTTCAAACTATAACTGAGCTTCCTGGAAACTCTCCATCCTCTCTGCCTTATTTAGTTGGTCTTGGATTCAGATCATGAGAACCCAGTAACTCTTCCCTTGTTACAGAAAGTCATTAAACTCTGACAACTTGGGGTTCCTCCTTAGTGCAATTTGCAGCAAGCCCAGATTTAATCTGAATTTACTCCATTGTTGTTTTTGGGAACCCCGAACTGCAGCACACCAATGTGCTGTCTTTGGCCAATTGTAACCCTGCTTTTTGACTCGGATCTCCCATCAATTTCAGATAACTGACTCCAAAGGTTACAGTATAAGGATGGTCTTTTTAACCCTCTGAAAAACATAAGAGATCTCTCATGGTCATATACAGCAGAATCCAGAATGGACTAATTAAACAGTCATCAGTTTTGAACCATCAAATTGGATACTAACTAAACATAATAACAGAAAGGGACTTTGGAGATCTTGTCCAACCCCCTACACAAGCAGGAGACCCTATACTCTTCTGGACAAATGGCTGTCCAAATCTCTTCTTAAAAACCTCCAGTGAGGTTTCAGTGCAACTCCTGAAAGCAACCCATTCCAATGGTTAATTGTTCTGTCAGGAAATTTCTCCTAGTTGCTTATCTTGATTACTTTCCATCCATTGCTTCTTGCCCTGCCTTCTGGCACTTTGGAAAATAGATTGACCCCCTCTTCTATGTGGCAACTCCTCAAATATTGGAACACTGCCATCATGTCATCCCTAGGTCTTCTTTTCACTAGACATACCCAGTTCTCGCAACCCTTCCAGTTTCAGCTTCCAGCTCCCTAATCATCTTTATTGCTCTTTTCTACACTCTTTTCCAGTCTAATTTTTTTTTTATTG